TGAGGAGGAAGGGGAGGAGGATGAGGCCTGAAGCCCCCCGGTGTCAGAGGAGGTTCTGTATAAGCCGGCATGTGTACGAGTGAATTCGGGTCGGGGTGGTGAAGCATGTTCTCTAGAAACTCTGTGTCCAGTATCCCGTGGCACTTGTACCTTTGACAGATTTCTTGGTGTAGCAGTTCAGAATCCCAGTTATTACAGTGTTTTTGTCACTTTAATGTGAAGAGCACATAAAGGCATGTATTCTAGATGTTGTTTGCTGTCTTTCTTAACACCTTTATTAAACAATGAGCAACTATGCAGCCTCTACACCAATAAATAAGTTTAAAGGCCTGCCAGAAATCCTGCAGCACAATGGTGCCCTCTGATCCACAGAGACTTAGAGTCTCCAGATGTGTGCTTCTGATGGAAATATCTGTTATGTGCTTTCTTAGAGGAACAAACCTGCCTGTAACTTGAATGAAAATGGCAAGGCAACTGAAAGGCCTAAGCAGGGCAAGGACAAACACCTCAAACCTGCTTTAGGGTTTAAGTCATTGCAGGAAATCTTCCACTTGTCTGTTGAAGTCCTCTGCAAAACGCAGGTGTAGGTTATGCTTTCCTTCTGGCATCAGGAGCAACCTTAAGAGGCAAAAATCAAACACTGAATATACATTGTTTTGTGAGTAGAAGTAGTTAAAATATTTCTTGCCTTTTTCCTTGCTCTTGGTTATCTTGAGCACAGAACTGAAGCAACTTGTTTTGTGGTATCTTTATGTATGTGGTTCACAACTATGTTGGGGAGGATAAACTAAGCTTAAAACAAAATTCTGGGAAGGATAAACTAAGCTTCAAACTTTTGTGTCCTAGACCCAGTTTCTAGGAACCTTTCTGGTAGTCTGCAGAGAAGATATGATTCCAAAACACATGTGAGCAGGATTTGTCTTCAAAAGGTATGTGAAACACCCAGGTCTTTGACTCTTTGAGACAAGAGTGGTGGTGGTGGCAGTGAACATGCTGAGGAGATCACTACAGGAATGTGGATTTCTTGTCACCATTGAAACCTAGTTAGTGTTTGAACTTTGTCTAATCTTTCTGCAAAAGGACAATCCAAAACTAACCCCACTCATTCACTCATTATGGTATAAAGGGAAGTCAGGAAATCTTCAGCTAGAACAAAAGCTTAGAAGTGGTATCTGTGAAGAAAATTCTTGTAATACTGATATGAGTGTGGCAAACCCAAAAAAGCTCCTTGCCATCACTTTCTGTCAGGGTAAACCTCCACATCAGGCATGTCCTAACACTACTTTTCTTTAGAGGTGTGGTGGGTATTTCCCACTGCACAAGTACAGAAGGATAGCATGCTCTCTTACCGTGGGAGACATGGACATTATCTCTTCACTACAGTCAGCAAAACTTTTTCTACTTTACTACTAGATAAAAATCAAGGCAAGGAAAGCTGAAGGTAGAAGCATGTGTTACTGAAAATGTGCTAAAATTAAGGTTTTCTTTCTGCTTCACAGCAGAACATGTAAAGAAGGGGACCATGTACTGAAGTGTTGGTTTGAGGAGAGCATTAATCAGATTTCTGATGAATATACATGTAGGGGAGCCCTTCAGCAGAGACATGCCCAGAATCACTTTCCATTTCTAACAGTTTCCTACTCAGCTTGTCTTCCAAAGAGGAGTTACCAGGTCCTTGTGTAGTTTTTGTGATAACTTGCCTTACTCAGTGTCTGAACAGGGCACGTGGGAGTAACTCACTGGCAGACACAGTAAAATGCCCACAGATAGCTGGGAAGGTCTCTTGTTCTCTTTCCTGTGGCATAGTGTGTTCCTCTAAACAGTGGGGCTGGCTGAGATAAGTGTATCACTCAGTTCTTCAGATGTGACACTGGTGAAACAGTTCCTTACACTCTGTGTGCAAAATTATGGGGTTTGTTCTCCTAATTCTTTCCTCTGATGTTAATCATCACAGTCTGTTATTAAGTAGCAATAAAACTTTTGAATTTGTGTGCAAATCTATGAGGAAAATTCAGCTGGTGAAGTCCAAACATTTTACAGGAAGCATTTCTGGAATTTTCAAATGAAGCAGATGGTGCCTCGAGATTTTTTTCTTGTTTATAAAGTAATATCTCTGAGCATAGCTGTACATCCCCCCATCCTGCTTTTATTAAAACCACTGAAGATTCATGAGACAGTTGGAAAAACAAAATCTTTGAGGTGGTTGTTCACAACAAGAAGGCAGAGCAAGCAGCAGCACCCCATGCTTCTCCCTAATAACTGGGGACCTCCATTCACAGCCTCTCAGTTCAGTGCCCCACTGAATGGGACAGAAATTACATCTCTGGCAGCAGAGATGCAATGGCCATAACAGGAACAGAGAAGAGATTTCCTTATTTTGGTAAATATTAGGGAGTGGTTCTGTGTGTGAATTGGAAAAAGGAAAAGGCTCATACTTGGTCTGTCTTGGAGGACTTTAGGAAGGAGCTTGTTAAAATATTATACTTTTTATACCACAAGAAAGATCTGGCTACACTGTTTGCATGTCCAAATACTGTTTCTTTTTTTTTTACATCATGGGTTTGAACTATTTAATTTCTTCAGCAAGGGTTTACAAATACTCCATCACAGAACTTACCGGGAGCCTTTGATGTGCCTGTGAATGTATTCTGCATGTGCCTGGGGAACCAAGGGGTCTTTCTGACCATGGATTATCAATGTGGGGCATTTAATATCTGGCAGCAACTGTTGGCAGATATTACCTAGGGAGAAAATAAATGAAGGTCACCCTTTGTTTTAAAATCATATGAAAGACTGAAACTGGTTCTGTAACGGGCTGTGAACCCCCCTGGGTTCTGGCTGCTGCCTCTTCCTGTGGGCAGCATGCAATTAATCCACAGAACTTTGTCATCAGCACTAGAATTAACATTTCTTTCTCCAAAATGTTGCTTCACTGAAACTTGCTTCATTAAGGGACTCTAAGGCAGAGGGTTGAGGGAATTAAGTGCTTCTGCCCCACGTTCCCCCAAGGCTCCCTGTGCCTGTTCAAAGCAAACACACTCCTCTCTTCCCTGGCTTTGTTCTTCTCAGCCTTGGAGTCCTACAGGCTCTGTGTTAATGCCACGTTCTGTCACATTAGTTTCAGGTCACAGGATTTGCTCCTTTTATCAACAAGTTCACCTTGATTGTACTCGTGGCTGTTCCACCATCCAGTCCCTTTGCTGCCTGTGCAGAGTAACCACCTAAAACAAACTGTACTAATGCTATTCAAAGGTTATTCTCCCTGCCCATTTATCTTACAGAACCTCAAGAATAATTTCATGCTTGCTAGTCATTAATCTCATTAGAAGTAATTTTAATGCTCTTCCTTAAAGACTTCTGGGTTTTTTTTTCCCTTTTTTTCTTTTTCCTCCTCCCTTAGTAACCCAGTTTCCAAATTCTTTGCCTAACTTCCCATGCACTTGCAGGGGAATCCTTGGGCAAATATACTTGATAAGTTTTACATTCCATTTATCTCTGAGCTACTTTTGTCCTGTTTGTAGTTATCTCCTTGCAGCTGCCAACAGCTTTGCAGTCAGCTCTCCCATATGCACACTTGCCCTCACTCTGAAGCTTGGTTGTTACTTAGTTTCACAGTTTTTCCAATTATTTGTTTATTTATATGGTCTTAGTTTACAATTCTACTGGTTAAATATTTTCATTTAGAATGTTTTGCCCACACAGTCCTCAAACACCTGCACAAATATTGACTGTTTTTCAGAACTAATAACAAGTTAAGTCAGTTTATTTACCTAAGGACCTTGTTAGCAAACCATGATTTCTTGTTTCCAGTCCTAGAGCTGTTTTGTACTATAATCACTAGATTATATTTACTCCAGGAAACAGAACAGCAAGAAGAACTGAATTTTGCAGCTATTTCACACTCAAAGCTGTCCCATTTAGGGCAAATAGACTTTTCTTTAAAAAAGAAAAAAAAAAAAGCTTGAGTGCAGTTTTTGACCAACGAATGTTTTGCTGCCCTCTTTTCATCTCTGATGGGTTTTATTGACCCCTTTTCTGGTATTTGCCACATCTGTATCTTTTGTGCAGTGTGTATGAACTTTAATTCCAAGGAGGCCTCCCCAAGTTATGCCTGGAAACAACCTGCAGTCTGACAAGTGCTCATCCTTTTTAGCAAACATTTGGCTTCTCCCAGCATCTGACCCAGCTACAGCATCTAAGGATTTAGTAATGCAGCTCCCTGTTACACGTCTGCAGCTGGCTTAGTGGCTGAGGTGTGTGCAGGCAGTAAAAGGATGACACAGCTGGAGTGTCACCAGTCTGGGCTTTGGACTTCAGAATAAACTCATTTTAAGAAAGTGCATTCCAGGAAGTGTAAAATGAAACCAGATCATAATTTGTTACCTGACTCTACTGGGAGAAATTCTGCTGCCATGTTGTTGATCCAGTGTAAAACTTTATGGAACAAAATAGGAAATGAAGGAATGTTTTCCTTGTAGTACCTGCTGCCTTTTAATGTGTAACTTCCTGTCTTGCATTATAAGAGCTACATAAAAATTTGTATAAGAGTTACAGACTCCTTGTTTTATGTATTATGTATTTCTGCTTTAGGCAAATTAAAAGCAATCAATTCATTTCCTCTGAATTAAAACAGAACTGCAGGTTATTATTCATGGTAACCTTGGCTGCAAAAGTCTATGTAGAGAAATTGCAGAAATCTTCAGAGATAAAAATTTAATAATGATATTGTTTAGTTTATTCTTTTGGGATTTTTAAACACCTAAGCTGTGTCAATAGTGTTTTTACATGTGTTTTGTTAATTGTGAGTTCTCAAAATCTGAACTGCCTTCTTTTTTAATTCAAGTGCTATTAGGTTTGAAATAGTGCTTCAGCTCTTGCTTGCAGGAACTGGAATGAACACACCTCACTCTTGGGATATCTTAATAAAAGTCACCAAAAGGTAATCCTTTGACAGTGGGAGAGAAAAGGGGCCTGCACAGAACCCTTTCATTCCCTCTGCATAAAAGCAATGATTCAATCATGCAGTTTTGTGGTGGAACAAGAGGAGAGACTCATCAGCTAATGCTTTTCATAAATATGTTTTCCTCCTGTACCTTGCTGGTCCTGTGAACCATCTACAAAGCAGCTGCTTTATTCAGGAGTGTGAGTCAGACCCAGCTTCTAATGCAATAAGCAGACTCCTTCCTTTACTGGCTGTTTGATTTTGATCCAGAACTCTCTGCTACTAGAACTGCTCCAGCCTGGCAGGGTGGAAGCCTTACCATCTGGGTTTTCAGCAAAGCGTGATATTCCATCCACCCAGGCCTCACAGGTTTTTGCAAGGTACGTGTACCCATACAGCTCTTCCAGGGGTTTCTTGACCTTTTCACTCCATTTTGAAACATCTCGGATGCCTACACAAAATAATATTGAAATATGTAATGTCCTTTCCAGCAAGAAGACAGAAACCAGTTCTGCCAACACCCAATATGAGTAAGTTTTCATACCAGGCTGCAGATGTGCATTTCAAACTGGAAATGGCACTGAATGGTTTTAAATAATTTGTAGTATAAAAAGGGTATAAAAAAGGTAGTTTTAGGATCTCTGCTGGGGTCTTTCTGAGTTGCAGAAGACCATCTGCTTATTATGACCAAAGGACTCAGTCCTAAAACTTCTGATGTTCCTTTTTTGGAGGGCTTGCAGAGGTGGAGCTCAGGGAGGTGCCTCGTGTATGAAAAGGGGACTGTTCCATAGCAGTGTGCCAGAGCTGGCAATTCTTTTATATAACTTTCAGCCTTTTGCTTTGACTCATGGATGGAAGTTCTTCCATGGCTCCTACCAGTACTCAGAGGAAGGAAGCTCTTACTAAGGCATTCCAGCAGGCTGACATCATGGTACATGTGCCATAGTCTTCCAGAACAAGCAGCTCTACTTCACAGAGTCCTGTGAGTCATGCCAAGCTGGATAAAGCTGCACAAATAATCTGACTTGCTAGTTATTTATTTATCAGATTTACCTACTTTTTTTCCCTGTAAAATTTCCAGTGCTGCTTACAAGGCAGGTACCCACCAGGGTGACTTTCACTAAACTGTGTTTCAGCTGCACAGCTTGGTACAGACAAAGCCCAAACAATCTTGGTGTAGCAGAGGACTTGAAAGAGACCTGAAAATACTGAATCATCAAACAGCAATATATGCCATCAGCAAAGCTTTCATTTTCAAACAGGAATTAAGGGAAGAAAGGAGCTAGGTGTTAATTAACAAGCAGAACCTGTTCTGCCAAATGAGGAAGGTAGCAGGGACTGGAATGGTTTTTCTCCCAGCACCTGACTGGGAATGGGTTTGCTCAGCACAGGCTGGCTGTCACTGATATGCCCTGATTCTATTTCATGTGAGTGGAATAAAAATCAGAAATCCAGTTTCTTTGCTTTGCAAAGGTTTTGTAACCACAGTAATTAACTTGCAAGGAATGCATATTAGAAAGGCATCCTGGGACGTTCACTGGAATGATTCATTGGCTTCCTGAGCTCAGATGGTAAGTTGTGGCCTGTTTTCTTGCAGCCCTTCTATTACATAGGCCCTGGAGGCAAAAGCTGTTCTGTGCTCGCCTGGTGATTTTCTGGGGATGTTGTTTAAAGGTTGTGCAAGAGGTGAGAAAAGAAATCAGGCCTGGGGTGAGTAATATTATTTGGAGTTTATTTTTAGGAATTTGTTACAGCAACAAAATTCTGACTCGCTGAAAACTACTGGTGAGCTGTTGTAACTTTTGCTTTCTGGCAGTGTAAGTGGGTAAGGGCTCATTAAGCAATCTGTTACATTACCCCTGGAGTAACTGTGAGGGAGTTTCTCACTATGACTTTAACCTATTGTTCTGGTTCTGTGTAAAAAGGGGTTCAGGGCAGGACCCACACGGAACAGAACTATGTACTCGCCTCTCCCCCCCCGAGAGAGAGAGAGAGACTTTGGGAAAAAAAATGAAGCATATTGTTTAACAAGGAACTGAAAACGAAAAAAGGGAGGTAAGGAAAATAATATATACAAAGATTTGGGGAAGAGTACAAAAAATAAAATATAAAAAACCCTCAGAAATGGTTCCAGGGTCCCACCGAGTGAAAGGACAACCTCCCTCTCCGAGCTCCAAGGCAGGAGTGAAATTAGAACCCACTCCCTGCCTCTTATCAGAGTGTGTGTGAGAAGGGGAGGGAATACAATGGTTCACCCCCACCCGGGGTCCTCCCAGTTGCTGGAAGGTCACGCCCCCATTCCAAGCCTCAAACCACAACACCTATCCCTGTGCTTAGCAGCTCGGTGAACTCCGTGTCCTGTTTCTTTGGGTTTGTTGTGTCCTCGCTCCCCACTCAGCTTTTACCCGAGTGGGATCCCTGGCTCAAGGAGGAAGGGGAATAACCCTTTCAGGAGAGGGCATTCAGGCTGTGCCTACCCTGGTAGATCCTCACATCCTCCTGGGTGACGCTGGCGTTGGCTCCCCACACCACCAGCCTGCGGACGAGCGCCGGGTACCTGGCGGCCGCGATGAGCGCGGTGATCCCGCCGTCGCTCCACCCCAGCAGGGAGAACTGCTGCAGCTGCAGGGCCTGCCTTTGCAGAAAGGAGTTATAGGTAAGCCATCGGCTGGTTTTACAGCCAAACATCACGTTTGTCTTGAGAACTAGCAGTACAGATCTAGGCACAAGACCACGTAGATCCGTGGTTAGCTTTCACAATTAGAAAATATAATTTTCATGCTATACATGGGTGGGTGAGGCCCCACCCCTGGGGGTCTTTAAGGCCAGGCTGGAGGAGGCTCTGGGCAGCCTGATCTAGTGGGAGGTGTCCCTGCTCATGGCAGAGGGGTTGGAACTGGGGGATCCTTGTGGTCCCTTCCAACCCTGACAGATTCTGATCTGTTTTAGCAGAGGACTTTAGAGCCCTAATGGCTCAATGGTTGGACTGGATGATCTTGAAGGTCCCTTCCAACCTAAAGGATTCTATGATTCTATTATACTTATGGTCAAATATTTAGAGAACAAGAAATTACAGCTGCCCTTCCAATTTTCCACAACTCTTTAATGAAACAGGCAGTAGCCACGTTAGATTCTTGCTGCATTTTAAAGAGCCCTTTTGAAATAAAGAGATGTTAATTTACAACAGAGAGTGGGGTCCTTTCAGAGAGCCTGATGGTATTTGGGTCTGTGGATCCTGCTGGTATAAAGCCAGCAAAGGCTCTCACAGTGTGGGGTGGTAGGTAATCTGAGACCAAGGTCTACTGAAGGAAAAGAGACATTTAAATCTTGAAAAATGGAATCAAAGGATCTAATTTACTGATGGTAGCTGACCCAAAAAAAAAAAAAAAAATCTGCTCTGTAACAATCAAAAAGTGAAAAAGTGCTGAAAGTATTTGCTGTGTAACAATCAAAAAGTGCTGAAAGTATTTGCTGTGGGATTGTGTAGAATTTTTAGTGCCTAATTCACCTTTTACAAAGCTTTTAAGCATACGTTTTAAATATTACTTCAGGGTGAGTTGCAATTCAAAACATGAATAATGAAACTCCTGCTTCTCCAAAAGGAAGGCTCAGGGCACAAAACGTGACAGCCAGGACCTTAATTCATTCAGACTTGTACAATGCTTTCCAGCAGGACTTGGAACTCTCGTTTCCTCATACAGCACAGTCAGTGGCAGGGGGTCACTGGCTGGGGCAGGAGGGAGGATTTGGGGAGGGGGATGTTCAGTGGGCACAGGCAGGGAGAGTGAAGGCACTCGGGAGCCTCTGAAGGCTGGACAGGGAATGTACCCGTGGGTAAGCAGCTTTTGCAGCCCTGCCTATAGAAGCTGAACACAGAGATGTGTGGATTCTTTCACAAAGAAAGACAAAAGGTTTTGAAGGGGGGTGGAGGGGGGTGTTGTGTGGGTTTTTTTTCCCCCTCCCCCAGAAATTACAGCCTTTTAGATGTGACTGAGGAAGACATTGTACTTTTGGAGGAAAAAAAAGTTAGTTGAATTAGGTTTTTGGTGTTTGCTGTTTTGTTGCTGGAAGTCCAGGCCTACTTTCTTTGAGCAGGAGAAAGCAAAAATATGGGCAATGAGAGAAGCAACTACAGAGAGAAAAAATAGTTTCTAGTCTGCTTGTAAACTCGATGCTCAAGTGGGGCATGACTTTAGTTAGCTCAACACCTAGCAAACTTCTCTAAGGCTTTTCTGGTTTGGGCTTCTTTCTGGTATTAGGCTTGCAGCAGTACTCAGTATTGGATTTTACTCTGCTAAGCTGTAATTACTAAACAGAAAAGAAATCAGGTAGGGGAAAGAAAAGGAAAGAGCTGTAAAGTAAGAGCTAACAGCAAAAAAGAGAACCTTGAAACTTAGCAGCTGATCACAAATTGGCCCTGACCTGCTGAAAACGTAGCTGTAACTGTGACCAGCTTTCAGCATTGTGCTGCTGAGAGGTTTCTGGTGTCTCGCCAAGTTTCAGGAGCTGACAGCAGTAGAAGATTAAGTTTTTGCTGTTGCTGCTCCCAGGAGCAAACTACAGATCTCGAAGTTGGCTGATGGGTGGGACAGGTGATGGAAATGTTTGTTCTTCATGACAGTGCTTCAGCTGAGGTCTCTTTGCCTGGAGCATTTCTCTTATTTACTAGTCATTACCCTGGTGCATTCTTTGGGCTGTCTGGGGATGCCTTTCCAGCAGCCTTGCAGCCCTTGTGCTCCAGCAGAGAGGCTGCCCTCTGAAGGAGCCCAGAATTGCAGCTCTGAAGGCTCACCTACATGGGTGGGTTCTTTGGCCAGGTGTAGGCCAGGTGAGGTATGGGAGCCATGCATCATCAGAAAGCTCTCTGCAGGGGTTATGACTTTTTATTCTGGAAATCCTGGCTGGGATGGTTCCTTGGGATCTGTGCTAGCCTTTATGCTATGCTAAAATAGAAGCAAGTTACCCACGCTCAGGAAGATACTAGTAATTTGTTGTTATATGCCTATAGCAATAAACATCTCAGGAAAAGCAGGGGGCCCTGGCTGGTGTTTTGGCAGCTTTAGGCATCAGTAGGCTGCTGCCCTGTTTGACTGGAAGCTCTGTTTCCTATTTTGCATCTATTAGTATCTGAATAGAACCAAGAAAGATGGTTGCAACACTTGGACTGAAGGTTTGTTGCCTCTCCATGGCAGCATCTTTATTTTCTTTGTTAGTGTAGCAGAAGAAATCGGGTGATTTACGGTGCAGAGAGATTGTGTTTATGGTTAGAGGGCAAAACTGCATCTTGCTCCCAGTTCTGCTGTCAGACTTGTTTTGTTTGCTATGCAGAGTGCTCCAGGAAGGCTGAATTTCCCTGTTTCAGATGGGTTTCTGCAAGGTTACTGCTTATTACAGAAATGCAGTTGGACTGACTGAATCGTGTCTTGTGTTTTTGGAATTTTAATGCTCTGCCAACTTTCTTAACATGGCTAAGGAGACTGTCTAGCTTATCATAAGAAAGCTAAAATGTTAGTTAAAACTAAGCCAGAAAGTGCTGTTAGCACTGACAGACAGAATAAAAAGAAGACCACAGAAACACAGATTTGAAATAAAAACTTCTGCAAGACAAATAAGTGAAACCAGCTTTAAGTCACATTCTTTTAAAATCACAATAGCTGTGTTGGTTATTAAGGTCTGGTATGACCACAGGAACCCTTTGATTTCCCACAAATTTTCAGTAATAGGCTGTAAAATGCCACGTCAAGTTAATACTTGGAATCAAATATTTCTTGAGATGGGCTGCTCAGGGCAAAATGCCACATTTCTACTAGCCAGAATTTTTTTTAGGAATATTTCACTACTGTAATCCCTTCAGTTAAACCACTTAGCAGAAGCTTTGGGGTTTATATCCACTTTACCTAAACTTACATGGTTGTTGGCTGCAAAAATCTCTTAGGGCAGGGTCTTGGAGTGAAAACATAGTGCTTTATAATTAATTCCCCCACTGAACCTCTGTGTATATTGCTGAAGAGATGGATGAAAACAATATTTTCCAGAATTATGTGCATCTACTCTAAGTCTTCATTTGCATGCTCTTTTGCATGACTCACTGTCTGCCTGCAACAACCTGCTTAACAGTATTCTTCCTCCCCCTCAAAATTTCAGGAAAATAGCTTTTGAGTAGAGATACAAAGAAACTAATCTCAGAATAGCTTTACCTGCATAAGATCCACAGCATCTTTTGCATCCCTCTCAAAGAAGTCTGGAGGAAAGTCTCGAGGTGGAGGGATGGACTGTCCATATCCCCGAGGATCCCAGGCAACAACTGTGAAGAGCTGCTTGTTCAGGGACTTCAGCTGTGGTCCAAAGTCGGTCTGGCCGCTCCCTGGAAGAGCATCCCTCAGTTACAGTGACCACCAGAACACACCCAGCACACGTGTGTGAACAGACACCTGGGGGACCTGCACCTTCATTCTAAACCAGAGATATCTGCCAGCTGAAGGGCACTGAGCCCCTGGCTGTGGGTACCTCTGTGGTGGCACCTGGGTAGGGACTGGTCTCTGAGCACTGCCATGGCCACTGCTGCTTGGCTGGGTGGTGCAATTCAGCCTGGGTAACAAATACAGTTGGCTTGATATTTCCCCTCTTATTTTGCACCTTGTGCAGCTATTTCCCACCTGTGCTGGAAGCCCCTTTTGGCACAGTTAAATCCCAATCTACAAATCACTATTACACAAGTCAGGATGTTGTATAAAACGTGCTTGGTGAGATAAATCCTTAAAAGCTGTTAACTGCTAGCAATAACTCTGCTTTTCCTATCTGTTCTAGTTTTTAAATGGCAGTGCTCCACAATCAGGTACTGAACACATCATAAACCAGCTTTGTGCATTCTAGCTTGAGAGAGGTGGTGAGAGAGGTGGTTCCTCCAGGTAGATAAGGCAGAACCTGCAGACCTAGCATCCCGGGAAGCAGGAGAACCGCGTGGCTTCCTTCTCCTGTCTGCTGGTAGTGCAGCTGGACTCCATTCACTTGGATTTTGGCAGATTTTATTGAAGTGCTAGGGATGGGAGAAAAGGAGAGAAAAAGGGAAACATTCAGAAGGTTAATTCTCATTACTACATGGTCATTCAAGGAATAACTGCTTTTTCTAGATATCGATGACAACACAGTAGAATTCAAATGGATCACTCTGGTGCCTGCATGGCAGACTACATAAAAAACTTGTCAGGAGCAGAGAGGTATCTAGAGAGCTGTGACCACTGTGGGGCACCCAGACTTGGGTTTCACAAATGTAGTTAAATAATTCAATTAAAGGGGAGGAGAAAAAAAAAAACACCACAGTCCTGACTGTGCAACAAGGGGGATATAAAAGTAGCTTTGCATGGCTACAGAAACGTATTGAAAGAAATCTATTGGAGAGGAGAAACCTCGTTCTGTCACAGTGTAACTTTTGAAACTGGTGGTGGTCACCGTGTCAGTGCTAAAGCCGCAGCCAGAGAAACCACAAAGCCCTCTGGATTTGACACCAGATCTTGGTCTATGTAACCAGTCTTGCCACACGCCCGAGCAGGAGCTGTGAGCTGTGCTGCAGGGCCCGGCTCTTCCCACCCGTGCCGGCCGGTGGCAGAACGGGACAGCAGCTGCAGGTCTCTGCCAACAATACGGCTGAAAGGACCTCGTTGTGTCGCTAACTCCGGGGAGTTCTGCTGAATTGTTAGGCAAATGCGACTCAAGTGATGGGTTTGTGACACTAAACCTCCTCTAAGTCCTGCCAGATACTTCACAACTTGAATTCTGAATGTGGCGTTCAGACGGACCCCTCTCCTTCCTCAATCTCTGAGCTTTGCTTTATTTTCTGTTTATAAAAGAAAATGGGTTTAATTTTTTTTTTTCTTGATAGACCATCTCTTGGTTTGTCACTCAACAAGTTATTTTACCCCAGTCCTCACCACAGCAAACGAGCACCTTGCTCTTATTACATTTTGGAGCAGTATGTGATTGTCTCCACTTAGTTATATCCCCTAGTGACCCCTTCTCTTTAAGAAAGGGAATTAGGGAAAAGGAAAGGAGATCTGTTGGTTGAAATGGAAGCAGATTTAATAGAACAACACCCAGATTTAATAAAATAATAAATCCCCTAATATTAACACTGATACAAAGTTAGCCCATGTAGTGATTTCTTTTCCTCTTCGTTGTAATAACTGTCAAAACCATTTCCAGTTTCTAACAGAACAACGACCATCTTGTAACTTTCTTTTTAAAAAAGTTTACCTACATCTAGTTTTTCATGGATGAGGGATGTGTGTTCTGCTTTCCTGATTCAGATGTTATTGTTTTTACACTGCTCTTTATTTTTTAGGATTAATTATTAACATCAAGGGCTGGAGAATTCTGCTGAGTTTGTGACGCTTTTCTATTCTTGGATCGTGCCTCAGTGTAAAGTCCAATGAAATTAAGGAGTTTCACAAAGAGTATTTTCAATGCTTTCTGGACTAAGAAAAAACAAGTTTGGTTTTGGGTTTTTTTTTTATGCTCTGAGAAACTGTAGTGAAACTGACTACACCTAAGACAGATTTGGTCCGCCTCACAAGGTGTTTTTGTGAGTCTGAAACAATGTCTGTGTGCTTGTCAGCAGGATGAACTCACTTCTGTCAAGTTTTCATCAAGACTGCATTTTCCATTGGTTGGCATAATCGGATACAATGTAAAAACAAGACCAAATCGGCTATTTTGTAACTGAACTAATGAGGTTTATAGCTCTCAGGCACTATGTATCCAGTGCTTCTCAGTGTTTACCAACATAACCGTGTTCGCTAACACAGGCAGAGCAGGCAGGTCTGCACCCTGCCTGGCTGGAGCCCACGCTTCACTTCATACTCTCTAAGAGTGCAGCTTAATCGGGGAAGTACTTCTCTGTTGCAGGTGTGCTATAACACGACCTAGTCTTATCTGTGTGAGGGGAAAAAAAAAAGATGGTATTATGTCCGTTTTCCTTCATAGGATCTGCAGAATAAGCAGTGTTTATACGTATAACGTATATGTATTCTCTTTGTAACCTCCAGGAAGCACCTTGTCTGCAGGTGGCAGAGCAGCACGTCCTGCCTGTTTGCAGGGTGAAAGATTGGCAGCCTGGAAGGTGACGGGCACGGAAGGGGTTGGGGAGCTTGTTCAGCTCCTTGTAGCACAAGGAAAGCAGCCAAAGGAAGAGCTTTGCCCCCCCGCAAGCAAAACGAATCTTCCCGTTTATCCGCAGAAGCCACCTCAGGGTACCACCAGCAATCCCACCTCGCCACCCTCCCAAATCTAGCTCCCTCCCCTCTGCTAAAACACCTTGCTCACTCCTGTCCCCCACCGCACCCCGGTGACTCCCACTCGGGCCTCCCGCAAGCCCCGGGCGGAAGGGACGAGGGCGCAGGGGGAAGGAAGCCGCTGCGGTTTTTACCCGTAGGA